CCTACAATGGATATAAATTAAAATTCATAATTTATAGAAGAATAAATAGTTATACTCGGTGCGATCACGATCATTCTTACTCTGCCGCTCGTTCCTTGTCAACGAGAGTATATCTTAAAGTTTTTAATTTGTTTTTTTAGAGTCAGTGTACCGTGGATGTACCGTTTGTGCGCGGTATAACCTTAGTGAATTTACGATGTCACGAGTAACCATGTATACGTGTGAGCGGCGCCGGACATACGCGTATATATACGCATACTAGTATGTAATAAGTATCGTACTCTACAACACGAATGCTATGAGAGATGCAACTCACTCCTCTTCGGCTGTTCCTCGGCAAGGTCGTGGATAGCGTTGTCTCTGATATGAGAGAGTGACATTCGCATCCGGTGGACGAAGGGAAGCTTCTCTGTTCTCGGCTCACGGCTGATCGTTTCCCTCCCTTCTCCCCTCGCCATCAATGCTATAAGATGAGCGAGTTTATTTCTTCTGTTCTCTTTTTACAGAAATTTAGATACCCGAATATTATTATTATTATTTCCGCGTCTAGTGAAGATGAAGGCTGAGAGTATGGAAGTCGTAACTGAAATAAATTTCAGAGTTATATATCTGTCTGTTCAACGCTGTTTTTATGATTCGAAGCAAAAAGAAGGCAAAATCATGAGTGCGGAAAGTACAGGGTAGTACAAGGAATCGAAAGGAACAGGTGTTTCTCGAGCCGATCACCATGATGGCACGCGATTGGCCCGAACTCGGAGTGGCCAATCGACATGCGATCCGTTTGAAAACGCATCTTGAAGTCGGCGATTTTCTGCCACATCCACGGAGTGAACCGCGCATAACTTCACTCCGTCATGATTATTTACCGTCGATTATTATGAAGCGAGATATTTTTTGCTTAAAGCAATTTGAAACGGGTACTGGAAGGTATAATTACAGTCCGGCTACCAATGATTATTTTTAACTCGTCATTTATACATCATTTTTTTATTGATACGTTTGAATCGCGACACTGCAAAAAAGGAAGGAAATCACGGGATTTTTCTTCGAATGCGATATGACTGCGGCCAAAGTTCGATTAATTTCATGATGAATTCGATCAGTCGCACTATATTGAATTAGTTCACATCAAAGATTGCTTGACATAAAAATATCTTAGTGGCATAACATATATAATAAACTCCATGTAAACAAGTTGATATTATTTGTCGTTTTGACATCAAAATGATGTCCTTAATATTATTTTCCAATAAAAATCAATTAAAATGAATTAAAAAAGATTCATTTCAACGTTCGCGAATACCTCTGAAAATCTGAATCCACTTCAATGCCTAATATCTTTTTATTCATTTATAGGAATTGCATGAATAAGAAGCACATTTTCTATGCTTTCAATCCAAAAATAAGTTCAGTTCTTAAAAGTGGATCATAATTACTGCTTAATTGAAAATTTTAGATAGAAAATATAGTTTTTTAATTCAATCGAATACAAAAAAGATTTTTTCATTTAAAGCACGCATTCTTCATTCTCATTTACTGGGTTGACATTAAAACGACGTTAAAAATGTTAGCTTGTTTATTTATAGACTTTCACAATGAAATAATACGTGTATATTTTGCTAAATAACATGACAATAATAGCATTATTGAATTTAATTGTTTTAAGTATTTATATGATTTGTATTTAACTTTGTTAATTTCACATGTAACAATTTTTAATATGAACTATCTAATCTAGTAATGCAAGTGAATTTATTATTAATTTAACTTATGGAGTAAGAAAGATTTATACCGTACATAAATCTTTTAGAGATGTCCTACAGACGTTCTAAGGACGTACATTCTTATCAGATAAAATGTATGCTGTATGGAACAATGGAAATAATATTAAAAACCAGAGTAAATATTAATAAATTAATATTTATTATATAATAAATAATATTAGTAATAAATAAAATAAAAAAATTAGGAATAAAAATTAAACGTAATATTTATCTTGTATCTTATTTATCCATTGTAAGTTATAAATTTCTATACATTCATTTTCTAATTTTTTAAGTCTGGCATTTATTCCTGATATTTCTTCCATTGCGTGCAATGCCTAAATATAACTTGTCGCTATTTTATTATTAATATTTACAAAATTATTAATTTTTGTCCGACACACGAAAAGAAAGATATCAGATTAGAAATTTACAAGCAATCATCGAGTAAAAGTTGAATTAATCACCGATTAAGTTAAATCGGAATTCGGTTGCAGTCTGTAAACACTCCAAATTTATTTAAATCTCAATAAAATCGTGCCAAAGGAATTGTTAATTCAAATTTACTGCACGAAACGAGAATCAAAGTAGTCTCTTAATTTAATAGAACAGAGCGCTACGTCATTCGTCTCCGGTGCACAATCAACGGTTGCAAATACATATAGGCAATATACGGGCTTTCCGTGAATACGTAGCGTGTTTTCGAGGCCTACGACATCTAGAGTACGCGAACAGTCGATGATCTGCGCGACGACGTGACGTTCATTCGAAGAAAAGCCTGACGGCGACAATAAGATGGCGGCGTCGCGCACGTCAGATCGCGGCTGAGCAGTCGGTGTAGCGGGGTTCGAGGGGGAAGGGGTGTAGGCAGGAAGAGGAGGTAGACGACAGGCGAGCGCAAGCAGGCAGGCACGGATGAGAGCTGTGTCGTCGTATACGTGCCTGCGTATAGAACGTGCGGACGGAGAGACGGCCTGTATCGTCATGTCCTGGCGTAGCCGTGTAGTCGCCGTAATATCCAGGCAGCCTAACTACGAGACGGCGCAGGTCGATTCTCGTTTCGCGTGATCCGTCTATCTTTCTCTCTCTTTCTTTCTCGTCTCGTCCGCCAGCCAGACTACGGCCAGTTTCGTCGATGCCTTTGTTCGCGACCGGGAGGAGGAGGACGGGCGCGGATTGCCGTCGCGACGAGGCGAAGACGAGGACGAGAGCTAAGAGGAACCTCGTGTCCATAGCCTAGCTGATAGCCAGTGGAAGTGAAGTGTATATACTCGTGAGAGAAGGTGCGACAATCTTGCTCCGTCTATCTGTCTCTCTCGCGCTCTCTCCGTTCCTCTACTCCGTTCTCTCTCCTTCTCTCTCTTGTTCTCTCTCTCTCTCTCTCTCTCTCTCTCTCTCTCTTTCTCTCTCTTTCTCTTCGAGTGAAACGGCTTTCCACACCCCGGCGCGGTCCTGGACACGTCTAGGAGGTGGTGGTGGCGACGTCGCGGAAGGAGGCGCGGAGGAGCCGACGGCGACGACGACGACGGCGAGATGCGCGAGTTCAAGGTGGTGGTCCTCGGCTCGGGCGGGGTGGGCAAGAGCGCACTCACCGTCCAATTCGTATCCGGTTGCTTCATGGAGAAGTACGATCCAACAATCGAGGATTTCTATCGCAAAGAGATCGAGGTGGACAACTCGCCATGTGTCCTCGAGATCCTTGACACTGCCGGCACCGAGCAGTTCGCGTCGATGCGCGATTTGTACATCAAGAACGGTCAAGGTTTCGTCGTGGTGTATAGCTTGACGAATCATCAAACCTTTCAGGATATCAAGGCGATGAAGGAGCTCATCACGCGTGTCAAGGGTACGGAACGCGTGCCGGTGCTACTTGTGGCGAACAAGCTCGACCTGGAGCATCAACGGGAGGTCGGCACTGAGGAAGGCCACCAGCTCGCGCAACTCTGGGGCTGTCCGTTTGTCGAGGCAAGCGCCAAGAATCGTACCAACGTCAATGAGATGTTCGCCGAGATTGTGCGCGAGATGAACTTCAGTCCTGAGAAGGAGAAGAAGACCTATTGCTGTTGCAGCGTCCTCTAATACTTAATCAAAATCGACGTTCGCCCGGATTTACCCGCGGACCGAACTAAGGTGATGGAAGTATACAGTGTGTACAGTGCTTCGGGAAAAGAGCTCGTCGACGTTAACTCGACGATATGGTTTTTCGCCGTTCTGCTAAAGGGATTCTTTTTGCATCTCTTACCTGGCCTGCTGAGGAACATGCTAAGGAAAGATGATACAGTGTACAGTGGCTTATGGGCAGAGCTCTCGTCAATGTGTTACGTCGTCCTGAAGGATCTCCTTTCGAAGAACCATCTTTTGGATGTCCTATCGACCTTGAGATGTGCCGTGCATCTGTCAAGGCTAACTTATATCGGACGCTGTATGAATTTTCCAAAATGGAAACTATGGTTCTCTTCTTTTCTAACTTTCGAAAGACCGTCCGGCGAGAGACGGCTGTTAAACACAGATATTTTATTATATGCGAATAATATTATGTATGTAATATTATTGTAATATATATACACACATATATATATATATA